CCCGCCACGCCCCGCAACGCCCCGCCACGCCCCGCCACGGAATCACGAGGCGAATAGTCAGCGCGAGTGACCGGCCAATAAGTTGCGCCTCGCGATTATTCGGCAGTTCGTGAACTTTATCCCTCCCGCGGATAGATTAAGGCGCGCGGCGTTTCGAGTGCGATAGCGTGATTCTTTGTCGCGAGCGCGCCGAGGCCGAGGGGCGCGGGTGTCCTTTTTTTTCTCCTTTTTTAAGGCGATGGTGATGCGAAGGAAACACAATGTATTCCAAGTAGTGGTGATCATATTGAGACCGCTTGATGCCAGCAGAGCAGCGACACGAGCTCGCGACACTAAGTGTCCTGCCGCCGCCGCCGACGGCTCGCCACTCGGCGGCAGGGCACGCCTCCCCATCCGGGGCTCGAGGGGCGTTAATGAACTAGGGGGCCGTCCAGAAATAACTTATCCTTTTAATTTTTTTATTTCTAGAGGGAGGAACTCCCTGCTGATTTGTTGTTTTTTTTTACAATTTTTTTTTTTGCGGTGGTTTGTCAATAAAACATTCCAATAAGGCTGAAATATAGAATTTCCGGCTTTACCGGAATGCTTAATTTACCCCACTTATTTTCCCACCCACGCTATAGGATATCGTCGTTTGACTTTCCGTACAACCTCCACTCCTCTATCCCCTCGTACGTTAGCCTAGCGCACCCTGCTGCAGTTTGACTTTTTGGCCGTGCCTCGAAAGCCTATAAAGTTGCGGCCGTGCTGGGCCGTGCCGGCCGGCGCTGGCCGGGCCCACGACGTACGCCGTACGCGACGGTTTAAGAACGTTAAGGTGCCCTTGGGTGTTGGGACCCGCGGCGAGCAGCGGTAACTACTTCTACTGTTTCTAGGGAACGTTCCCTCTCGCTCACTCACGCTCACACAATAAGATTCGCGTCCCCCTGCGTCCACCGACGTGAAATTCGGCGGAAACACACACAAAAAAAACAACTGGACGCGGCGGCGGCGTGGTTCTTCCAAGAATCTCGCGGCGTGTAGGATTGCATTTAATCTTTTTGAAAATACGCCTCGTCCTGCTTGCCGGCCCATCCCTGTACCCGCACGCCCAGCTCGAGCGGGTACCTGCCAGGTACTTCCGCCTGTGCCTCCCGCTCGACAACAAACAAAATAATCCTCACCCGCCCTTTGCAAATAATTTGCATAGATGTGGTGAAAATGTGCTGCGTTTAAAGTTTACTGCGGATATCGAGATCTGATCGTCGCAAATTCTCAGCGCACAGATTTTTCATTCTTATTACTGCGATGAGTTTCTATGATGTGTCTGTTGGCATCACTGCCGCATGTCATCATTCTGCGTCGTCTGTCTGTCGTCTGTCGCGTATTTTGGTTTTCCGGCGCAACCCCGACAGTTGGTTGTTGTTGTCAGTGGACCACGGCGACCACGGCCGCCGAGGCCGCCGTTGGCGTCCCCTTCCCGCGGGCCATACCCGGGGCCCCGGGACGTCGTCGCGAAGGTGCACGTCGCGGTGTTTATGTCCGAGGTGACGGCGAGTCCTGGTAAACAACTTCGCACCAGGTTCCTACTGCGCGGGGCTCGACGGCGGGGACGGGGCTGCCGGCGAATGCGACCTAACCTCTCAAACCCATGGCGTCGTGGTACTACAACAGCAGGACGACATCCGCAGTCGCAGGTATTACGACCGACGTGCTTCTGTTCGTCCTCTCTCTGACGCCTGCGGGTGACACACTGTGACAGAGACGGACGCCACAGCGCACCTTGTCATGGTAATGCTTCCATGGAACAAACGGACGAGTTGAATGGAGTTTGAATGGATGGCGAGCAGCAGCAGGAAGAGGATGACGGGCAATATGATGGGAGGTGTTGCCCGCGTTCTTTCTGCTGATACACCGACGTCACGGCATATTCGCATGAAAAAACTCGGCGAGAACGCTTTTTAAACAAAAAAATGTCAGACGGAGCGCGTTTATTTGTCACCGGAACTCACCAATACTTGTCATTGCCTCAAATTGAATGGACAGACATTAACTGTATTATTCCTTCCTATGTTGTTGTTTGTTTGTAAAAAAAATGTGTTGAAAAGGTAGATGGAAAAAAATGTAACCGCTGGCGAACACGCGATCAGGAAGTGACACAGAGCAATAAAAAGCTTCGGGGCGCAGGTGATAACGGCTACCGCGAAGAGCATTCTAAAAAAACGTGTGACAACGGGGTGGGGGTGCATGTGTGTACTCTCTAGTTGCCAAGACGCAGTTCATCCCCGCCCCCTTCTCCTTCGCTGTCTCTTTCCGGGTTGCCAGGATTACTTTCATCTTTGTTCGCACCGCCCCCCACCCACCCATGGCTCGCGCGCTCACGAACCCAGACGCCTGCCAGCCGGGGGGTAGGCCACCACCCCGACTTCGCTGTACTGCACGTCGAGGATTTTGCCTACGCGGCAGGCGTCTCATCCTTGACCCCAAGTTCATCGTTCAATCCGAAACTCGTCCAAATTTCCCTGTTGTTTTCAATTTACTTAATCCCCCTTTTTCCTCATTATTTCTGAATACCCCCCAGTGGACGTCACTCACTGTCGACGCAAAAAGGACTCTCCGAATAAAGAGTTATCTCTCGAGTGGCGGACATCATTTATGAAAATGGCTGATTCATGACTCACTCATCCGCGGTCACTTTACAACATGGTGGTCACATAGTGGTCACGTCGCACTGAACGCGTTAATTTGGACACTTAGTTTGGACGCCGCGCCACCGGGATGAGGTAGGGGGCGATTATTGGCGCCGATTGTGTGTCCCACCGATGCACTTTCGACCAATCAGGAGAGCAGACGAGACAGAAAAAGTTATCGCGGGAGCTTTCGAACCTGGGACATTGCCCAATCATCACCCCACCCCACCTCACCCCACCCCACCCCCTTTTCCGTCTTTTATTTTACCTCGGCGACCCACGCTCTCTTTGGTCTTCGGCAAAAAAGATCCGAAACGGCTTCTTCAGCGTCTCTCTCTCTCTCTCTCTCTCTCTCTCT